TCTCTTTTCACTCAATTAACTTCACTACACTGTGCTGTGCAACATTTTTCGGACAGATTTGTGCACAGGCAATGTCCTCCCTTAGAGACATCTCGTAGGTGCTAATCCTGGTAGTGCCCGAGTGCGTACTCGCATCAACAACCTCGTGGTCATGGAGCAAATGCATTGGTGCGTAAATTAGCGGCCACTTGATTGTTCATTCTGTCTTTTGTCAATCCTCCTCCCCTCACTTTTCAGGCCCCCAGCCTGACCTCCTCGTCGTCCTCGGTAAAAACTACTCTCCAAGTAGTCGAGGCCAACTCTGCTTTTCACCTCGGTGGGGAGTGAGCAATGGGCCAAGTCGAACCCGTCTCACGCGCGCCAGGAGCCGGGTCTCCAGCGTCTGTGGACCCCCATCCTCCAATCGGTTGCAGTTAGGAGCTCCCCTGGCCTCGGAAACTTGACAGATGATGTTCTACTGGCATGCCCAGGCCGATTTTTTTGCACAAAACTGCCAGCTCTTTGCCCTTGACCCCAGCCCCTCGTCCTTCGCCATATTCTCTCCTTCCCTCTTAACTGAGAATCATCGACTCATCACTTAAGTATATTTGGCCGTCTTTACAGCCACCCTTTAGCCGATACGACGAAACCTTTATGTAATTGCATGAATTCAGGCTCAGAACTAAAAATTTGGCCGAATGCTCTAGTTTGATACGCGCCCGAGAATTGAAAAAGAGGGACTCACAAAGGATATATCTTTTCGCCTTCGATGATCCTCATGATCACCTCTTCTTCTTTCCTCGGGATATTTTGTTCCTCTGTCCACAGTTCAGGTTCAGTAAGCCTATGCATACTTCTTTCTTTACATTCATTCTTGCCTCTTTGGAGCGCTTAGTTTAACCCACCTCTCTGAATGCAGTATCGCATTTGTATGGCATTACTACCACCTCTCGGGGGTAGACCGCGATTCCTACCCTTTTAACACATGTAAGCTGTTACAGTTTTGTCTGTCTGGCGACAAGAGTACACTGCCCCCATTCGCCCGACCCTTTCTGGTTCTTCCGCATTCCTCCTGCAAGCCATCTTTCAGGCGTGACCTGATGCCTCCTGTCCAAGAGATGATGCCCATCCTGCTACCCGTGTACAGATAAATGACTGCTGATCCTCTGTTCATATTCGCGCTCCCTTGAATTTTGAGCTCCCCCATGCTAATAGCCTTCTCTCAACTATCGTTGCTAGTTGCCCGGTATCGCCTAGCCTGCAGTTTGGCGTCTTGTGCCGCAGCAACCAGCCTCATTCCCCGTCCCGCATATCGGGCCTGCTGTAGCAACCAAATCCCACTCT